GGTTCCTAGACTCCCCTCCTCCCGGGCCCACAGCCTGGGGACAGGGACAGGCGGTGGGTCACGGTGGGAGATGGCTGGAGGTCCGGGGTGACACAGCCTGGAGGACACTGATTTCCCTGTTCAGACGGGCCTGGGGCCCTCCAGGGCGCTCTGGGGGCAGGGCGTGCCGAGAAGGCGGGGTTGGCGGAGGGCATGAGTGTTCGTGGTCTCAGAGCACCTTGCCCACCGGTGGGTGGGTGCGGTCACAGGAGGATGCGGAATGACCCCCTATGGGAAGGGGGCCTGCAAGGGGCTCTGCCTCTGGCCATTGTCACCGTGGGAGTTGGCCATGGGGGCTCTGAAGGGTGTGGCCAACCGCAGTTCCCACCCCATCCCCTGGTTCCGGGCTTCTTGCTTGGGGACTGTGCCCCCCCCGGAAAAGCCCCTGTGCGGCGCGGCCCAGCCACGGAGGGACCCCGAGGGGCGCCCTGCCGCGCACGTGTGCCCCGCCCCACCTGTCAGGCTCCGCGACCAAAGGATGTGGTTCGACTTAAATTAAGTTTTTCCCTTGAGGATGTTTTCATTTTATTTAAAACAATGTAGTTTTCTTCTAAGAACTTGGGCCAAGCTTGTCATTTCTTAAGCAAATTACAGCAAACTCACGAGCGTCCAATTTGTATATGATGGAGCTGGTTTTCAGGCAGTAAGAACATTGTAGTTTGAACTATTTTTGTATAAATTCCTCTAAAATCTCACCGTGCGTGTCTGCCTTTCACACTTCAGTGGGGGGTGTCGTGTGTGTCAGGGTCTGAAGAGCAGTCGCCTCGGAATGCAGTTTGGGGGACCATCGGCCCACTTTGTTCTGGGACTCACTGTGTCTGTTGGATTTGCACTTGGGGGCGGCCCCTGGACCTGGCAGTGGTGTCAGGGAACATCTGCACTGAGTCCGTTTGTTCCTGTGGCGGGGGCGTCGCCTCCTGGGGCTGCCGCCCTTCCCTCCCTTCCCCTCCGTCAGGCGGGAGCTGTTGGCCGGGGACGTGTCCATCTGGCCGAGCTGGGAGAGAGGAACTAGGTGGGTTGTCCAGGTCGTGCCCAGGGGGATGCGCCAGTGGGGTCCAGCAGTGTGAGGCCTGGAGCTGGGAGGTGCTGAGCCGGGGCAGGTGTGTGTCCTGAGGAGGGGGCTGAGCAGGAGCAGTCAGGGAGGGCTGTTGGAGGAAGTGACCGCAATGAGGCCAGGGAGCAAATTCCAGGAGTGGCGGCTGTTTCTGGCTCTCGTCCTTTTGACTTGGGCTGCTTTGCTTTTTAACCAGTTGTTAATCAGTGCAAGGCTTTCTGCCATGTGCCCTCCTCTTTGCTTGCTCGGTCGAGCTGCCTTTACCGCGGTTTCTCCTGGTCAGAGGGCACACCTGGCCCTGTTCTCTCCCTGTGCGTCTGCCGTGGAGCTGGCCCCTGCTTGTCCGGCCATGGGGTCCCCATTGCTCCCTGCATCCCATCTTGGTTACCGTGCTCCTCCCACCCAGCTGGACTGAGCCCCCCTTCCTGCCCACAGAACGGACTGTGTCTGAAGTCAGAGCCAAGGCAGTGCATGACCCTGTGGGACAGTGGCCTCATTTCAGGCCACACTCGCCCTTTGTCTCTCTAGGCCCCATGTTGCCTTCTGCCGGCACAGGTGATGCCACTGTCCCTCCTACCACGGAGCCTTTGCACGTGCGGTTGCCTCTGCTGAAGCCACTCCCTGCCCAGCACTTTCATTCTCCTTCAGATCCTCTGCTCTCAGCGACGCCAGGAAGTCAGGCTCCCGGTTACGACACTTTGCTCAACACCCAGGAGTTTGGGTCCCTGCTCCCCAAGCTCATCTGTCCAATGCAGCATCTGCAGGTGATGGTTGTGGGGACTGAGGGAACAGCATGAGAGCCACACCGCGTCCAGGTGGGTGGCCCATGACCTTCCAGGCCTGGGTACCAAACCCTCCTGCCCCTGCGATATCTCCCATGACATGGGCATCTGGTGACATCTGCACCTGTGTCTTTGGCCACTGTTGTGCTTTTGTGTGTCTGAGTCGTTACTCTCTTGCTAACCGTCTCCCCACTAGATGGGGAGCTCTCCAGGCCACGGCCTGTCTGGGTGGTTCACTCTCGTCTCCACAATTCCTGGTGCACGGTGGGTGCTGCAGCCAGAGCCAGACCTTGCCCTGGCCTTTAGGGTCTTGGTGTAGCTCCCCCCACCCTGATTGCTTTGCGTGTCCAAGTCCTGCCTGAGTTACCCAGCGAAGGAACCACAGGTGGAACATAACGGCGCAAGAACGGGTTTACGCAAATCCTACACGCACGTGCACATCAAGTGTGGGCGTGTGTGCCCCGTGCAGTACACGTACAAGCACGCCTCTCCGCGGGGGCCGCCTCGCTTCTGTGCTGAGGCCCAGAAGCACAGACTTGAGTGCTGAGTGTGCTGCCGTGTGTGTGTGTGTGTCGGAGGAGGGGGGAAGGGGGCAGAGAGTCAGTGGGAGAGATCAAGAGAGACACTGTGTTTGAGAGAGGCTGCATATCTGAGAGAATGGACGAGAGCGACCAGGAGATTGGGCGGGAGATGGTGAGAGGTGAAGCGGGGAGAGACACGCTGTGTAAGAGAGAGACGCAGCGGCTCCTAGAACCATGGCTAGAAGATCGATAGGCTATGGAGAGACAGAGTGAGCAGGAGAGAAAACGGGAGAGTCTGAACTCATCCAGTGAGGCCGACGTCACCTGGGTCTTCCCCCCCACCCCACCCCCCTCTGCAACAGGTGGGCAGCTCCAGAGCCAGGTGAGTTGGAAGCATTTGGCTGGGTTCATTTGACACACCTGATCCTCCCCACACCCCAGCTGGCTTTCATGACGTGCCGATCTCTTGGTTTTTCTCCTGCCTCATTGGAGGATCCTTCTCAGCTGCTTTTCTGGTTGCTTGTATCGTATACCGGGGATCATTCTCTTTGCATTTCTTTTCTTTTCTATCTATACTCATTTTCTTAGTGATACAATCTAGCTTCATTTTTCTAACTTTACCTACAGCTTCCAAATTTAAATTTCCAGCCCCAGTGCTAAAATATTGTGTAATACAGAATAGGTCCTCACTAAATATTTGTTGAATTAATGAATATATTTTTTAAAAACTCTAAAATCCTCATGAGGGACAAGTATAACAGAATTTAAATAAACGAAAAGACCATTGAATGGGAATTTTCAGTTGCCCAAACATGTTGTTTCCTCCTAAAAATAGCAGTCAGTTTAATGTAATACCAATGAAAATACCAATAAGATTATTTTTTATTGATACGTAATATTTTACACATTTATGGGGTACATGCGATATTTTGTTACATGCATAGAATGTGTAATCATTGAGTTAGGGTATTCGAAGTGTCCATCGTTTTGAGTATTTATCATTTCTATGCATTGGAAACAGTTCAAGTCTCTGCTCCTGGCTACTTTGAAATACACAGTGCACTGTTGTTAACCATAGTCACTCCGCTGCCAAGCAACAGAGCTTATACCTTTTATTAACAGTATGTTTGTACCCATTAGCCTACCTCTCTGAAAGCCTGCCACCCCTCGTCTCTCATATTAAATATCTATCATTATACTCTCTACCTTTATGAGATCCTTTTTAGCTCCCACATATGAGTGAAAACATGTGATATTTGTCTTTCTGCACCTGGCTTATTTCATTTAGAATAATGAAAGTTCCATCCATGTTGCTGTAAATGACATGATTTCATTCTTTTTTTTGTGGCTGAATCATAGTCAGCCCAGCAATCCCTCTCCGTGTTTTCTTTATCCATTTGTCTGTGGGTTGATGGTCACTGAGGTTGATTCCATATCTTTGCTATTGAGATTAGCGCTGCAATAAACACGCGAGTGCAGGTATCCCGTTGATATGCTGATTTTTCCTTTGCCTAAATACCAGTAGGGGGATTGCTGGAATATACCGTAGTTCCATTTTTAGTTTTTTGAGAAATCTCCATGCTGCTTTCCATAGTGGCTGTACTAATTTACATTCCCAAAAACAGCGTGTAAGAGTTTGTTTTTCTCCACATTCTCACCAGCATCTGTTATTTTTTTGTCTTTTTTATAATAGCCATTCTTTTTTTTTTTTAAATATTTAAAAAGCGTGTCATCCCTGCACAGGGGCCATGCTAATCTTCTCTGTATCATTCCAATTTTAGTATATGTGCTGCCGAAGCGAGCACTAATAGCCATTCTAACTGGGGTAAGATGATACCTCATTGTGGTTTTGATTTGCATTTCTCTGATGATTAGTGATGTTGAGCATTTTTTTCATATATGTGTTGGCCATTTGTATGTCTTCTTTTGAGAAATGTTTGTTCATGTCCTTTGCCCACTTTTTAATGGGATTTTCTTTTAGTGTTGAGTAGTTTGAGATCCTCCAAGATGTTTTTGAAGAGAAAATTTACTTCATCCTTATAAAATTAATCTTCCATTCATCATGCAATCCAGCAATCCCTCTTTAAGGTATTCACCCAAGAGAAATGAAAATTTGTGTTCACAGAAAAACCTGCTCATCAGTGTTTAATTGCAGTTAATTCAGATTTTATTGAAAGTGGAAACAACTCAAGTGTTCAACTGGTGAATGGATACATGAAGTGTGTTACACCCATACGATTGAACATTGCCCGGCAATAAAAAGGAACAAACTATTGACACATGGAACAACATGGAGGAATCTCATATGTATTACGATGAGTGAACGAAACCACACTAAAAATGCTACTGTCATATGCTTCATTTATATGACATTTATATTGTATTTGTTATATTTCAGATATAGAGTATTAGGGACAATAAGCCCTATGAAATATTAAAACACACATGTGTGGGCCTGTACCAATAAATAGACTGTCAACAGAAAGCCAGAAATATATATAAATTATCAAAATTTTGTGATAAAGGTAATTTGTAAATCAGTGAGGCAATTTGGGTTATTTCATAAATGCTTTTGAATCAACTGATTAAACGTCTGAGGAAATAGTTGGATCTATCTCTCACAGCTTTCTTCAGAATTAAACTCAGATATCTGAAAGATTTATATATTTAAGGACCAAAATGTCCCATAAAGTTCTTACAAAATATGCAAGATATTTAAAATAAGCTCAGAGTTAAAAAGACCTCTCCAAAGATGAAAAAACCAAATTGATAAATCTGACTGCATAAACAATAAAATATTACTGCCTGGCAGACTGTACCACAGAGAAGTTCAAAATGCTAGGAGAAAATATTGGTGAAAATATTTGCAAGTCATTATAATTGGCTCAATTTCCTAGTATATGAGGAGTCTGTACACAGTTCCTATAAATGATAAGGAAAAGACCAACATATCAGTAGAAAAAGGAGCAAATGTTTCTAGCAGAAAGTTCACAGAGAACAAAATAAAGTGGCTTTTTAAACATACATTGGCATTCCAGGTTTTGTGTCAGGTTCATGAATGACTACTACATTATCAATAATTGGTCAATAAAGAAGTCTATCAGAGTATATCATGAATAGAGATTAATCCAATAAGTATCTGCTCCCTTAAGATAGTTATACAGAGACACCTTTTTGTCTCATTTATTGGACTGACAAAGGCAATACGTCTGATAAGCAATGTGTCTGCCCGTACATGGAGAAACCAGTGCTCACACACTCTGCCGCTGGTACCGTAAGTTCCTTCGGGACATCACTCAGATGCCAGGCTATTAGCTGCTCTGGCCATTTTATCTAAATTGTAACTCTTCTCCCCTCCTTCTGCCTCCCACTTGCCTATCTCCTTTCCCCACTTTTTCTTCTAACATGCTGTATACTGAGCTATATCATGTTTGTTATTTCTCTGGCACTACCAAGTGTAAACTAGATAAGGGAAAGGAATTTTAGTTATTAAAGAAATATCCTCTATTTATAAATCATCAATAAATACACGTATATATCGCCTCCCCCAAACATCCATTGGTACTCTTCAAATCCCAGTTCCATTGTGTTCTTTGCCTACTCCAGTCCACTGTCATAGTTATTGTGAGAAATAATATAGTACTTTCCCCAAGTTCATAGTCCATGGAGGATAAAAAGACAACAAAACAAAACAAAAAGATTACTGTTTCTAGCCAAGATGGAGTAACAGGGACTGGACTTAGTCCTCCCACTTGAAACAGCAAAAACTGGACAAAATATACAAAATAATCATGTTCAGAAATTGGGCATCAGGTAGCACAGGGAGATCTCTGGGAGAGGGAAACAGAGAAGGTGAACCACGTAATTGCCACAGGTTGCCCTGCGAGAATTTCCAGGTTGCAGTGCAGGAAGGGGGATTCCAAGGGGAAACCAGCAGTCTCTGAGTTCATGAGACAGAGTTGAGAGCCTAAAGTGGCCAAGGTGGGTAAGTTTGCAGGGCAGGATACTGGAGAGGAGAGAGCTCCGCAGAGAGAACTCCATGGTTTTGCAGAAAGTGCCTGTCAAGTCTTCCCTGAATGCTGCTCAGTGTATGCAAGTGAGAAAATGGTCCAAGACTGGGGAGAAGCATACCCAAGTTATTCATGGGGAGTCAAGTAGTTTACTCAGACAGGTATTATCTTAGTAGAGCTATAAAATTCACCTTAGCATATGGCCACTTTTGTGCCACCTAAGAAAACTTTTAAAAATCTTCAAATGGATCCAACTATGTCCAGATAACTGAATAAGAGAACAAAACTCAAGAATATTTATAGAAATAAAGAACTAACCAGCACCTAAAAAATTAAATTTCACAATATTTTGCATATAAAAAATAATTACCCGGCATGCAAAGAAGAAGAAAAGTATGACCTGTTATCAGAAGAATCAATCAATATAAACAGACTGAAAAATGGCACATATGATAGAATTGGTAGACAAAAACATTAAAACAGTTATTAAAATTATATTAAATGTTCAAGAAAGGAGAAGAACACTTGATAAAACATATATATTTAAAAATCAAACTTGTATAGATAAAAACTGTATTCCAATGGATGGAATTAACAGCAGATTAAACACTGCAGAAGAAAATATTAATGAGTTGGGAAAAGACAGCAATAGAAATGATCCAAAATGAAAAACAGAAAAAAATTGAAAACTAATAAAAAGATCAATGAGCTGGGGGAAAAACCTGTGGGAGGGCTAAACATAATTAACTGGAATCTCTTAGGGAATAAGGGCCAAAATTTTTCCAGATTTGATAAAAACTGTAAACCTACCCATCCACAAAACCCAATTAACTTTAAGCTTAAGAAACATGAAAAGAACTATATAATAGTTCCACTTATCCACCATTTCACTTTCCATAGTTTCAGTTACCTGAAAATTTTTGGTGGTCAATCACGGTCCAAAAATATTAAATAAAAAATTGAAGACATAAACAATCCATAAGTTTTGAATTGTGCACTATTCTGATGGCATGATAAAATCTAGTGACATCCCGGTCTCTCCCAACCAGAATGTAATTCATCCCGTTGTCCAGCATATCCACACTGTATATGCTACTCTCCCATTAGCCACTTAGTAGCCCTCTTGGTTACCAAACTGCCATGGTATAACAATGCTTGTGTTCAAGTAACCGTTATTTTACTTAATAATGGTCGCAAAGTGCAAGAGTAGTGATGCTGGCAATTTGGATATGCCAAAGAGAAGCCGTAAAGCGCTTTCTTTAAGTGAAAAAAGAACGTTCTCGACTTCATAAGAAAAAATATCCTATGCTGAGGTTGGTAAGATTTATGGTAAGAATAAAACTTTGAAGGAGGAAAAAAAATCATGCTGGTTTTGCTGCCATAGTTCAGACTGAAAAATTATGTCCACAGCGAATGCTAAGTGCTTAGTTAAGATAGAAAAGGCATTAAATATATGAGTGGAAGACATGAACAGAAAACGTGTTCTGATTGACAGCAATGTGTTGTGCCAGAAAGCATTGAGCCTATAAGAAGACTTCAGCAGTGAATTCCCTGCAACAAGTGACATCAAGCCATCTATTGAAAGTAAGGACTGGTTACACAGGTTAAGGAATACAGAAGGTCAATAGTAGCACAATGCTAAGTCGCGATGCCTACACCTTAACTTCCTTCATCTCATCATGCAGGCGTTGTATCAGCTCACATCATCACAAGAAGAAGAGTGAGTACAGTACGGTAAGTTATTGAGAGAGAGAGAGACCACATTCACATAACTTATTACAGTGTATTGTTATGATTGTTCTATTATTATTCTTACTGTGCATAATTCAAAAATTAGACTTTATCATAGGCATGTATGTATAGGAAAAAAATAGTATCCTCTGGGATTCTTGGAACATATCCCCTATGGATAAAGAAGGGTTACTACATTGGTCTGCTTGATAGTGTTCCCATTAGTGTCTTAGGATTGGACTGACATGGTTTCGTGTCTTTTGCGTTTGCAGCTTTGGGGAGCATCTGAAATAATGTGCTCCTAAACCTTTCTGTGATCGAGGAATCTCGGTGTGTCCTCGCTAAGAGGAGCCAGACAGGGTCAGATCATTGGAACTTTGGGTAACCCCTTCCCAGCGCCCCTTGCGGGACTTCTTGGACGGTGCGCCTGCGCCCCAGAGTCTGGAACTACATTACCCAGATGCCTTCGCGCAGAGCGCTGCGGCGCTGGGCCAATGAGGGCCGAGGAGAGGGACGCTTTGGTACCTTGCGGAGCACGTCCAGGCGGGATTTCCGGCGGTTTCCAGGCGGCTGTCGTTCTGGTGTCACTTGGGTCGGCCCACCTGATCAGATTGTGAGCTCTTGGTCAGGCCCAAGGTAAAGCGAGCGGGAAGGGGTGATGGGAAACGTTGCCCACAACGCACAGAGGCGGGTCTGTGGGTCGGGGGTGCGCGGCTGGGGCGCCGCCAGGGTTGACTCCGCGCGGGGGACGGGCTGGGATTGGGTTTGGCTCGGGCTCCCGGCTCCGTTGCGCCACAGGCTCTCATGCTGGCGGCCGCTCTGATGGACCCAGCGTAGGTTGGTTCTGCGTCCCCCAGGTCCTCACCTGTCCGCACCCGCACGTCCAAATCCCGAAGCCCCTCATGAAGGAAGGGCACCTTCCCCGGTCACCTCAGCCATGCCCCTTTGTTCAGGACATTGGTGCGTTCCTGGGCGGGGTCCCCATTTCTGACACCCAGCGTGATGAGGAGTGGAAGAGAGTTCTTGACGCAGAGACCAAGACGTGCAGCGGCGTGGAGGTGCGATTGAGGAGCAGCTGGGAAACCTGGAGTCTCCTATCTATGGAAAACATTGTGAGCCGATGAGCTATGTGTGGAATGGCAGTATTAACAGGAAAAAAAGCCAAACTCTGTAAAATAATTTTAAAGAGATTTACTCTGAGCCAAATTTGAGGACCATGACCCGGAGCCAAGCCCAAGAAACCTTGAACAAGTGGACTCGCTGTGGCTGGGTTACAGTTTGGTTTTATACATTTCAGGGAGACAGGGGTTGCCAATAAAGTGATAAATCAATACGTGGGAGGCATACATTGGTTTGGCCTGAAAAGGTGGGCAATCTCGAAGGGGGGGCTTACAGATTATAGGTGGGTTTAAAGATTCTTTGACTTGTAATTGGTTAAAGACATGAAGCTTTATCTAAAGGCTTGGAATGTTTTAACACAAGGAGCTGTTAATCTGAGACAAGCCGCTGGACATATATTTGTTGTGTAAATCTAGGACCTGCGGTTTGTCTTGCGTACCCTCAGGCCTGTTAATGGGTTACAAAGGATGTCCCCAAGAAGGGAGGGGGGCATGATGAGGCATGTCTGACCTCCCTTCTCCTGGCAGGCAATTTAGTTTTAGGATATTCCTTTGGCCGTGAGGGGATCCATTCAGTTAGCCAGTGTGGGGATGAGTCTTAAGATTTTATTTTAGTTCACAGCAGCCGCCTGAGTCGCTGTGATGTCATTCTGCGGGTGTTGGTAGCCATGGAGGGTTGTGGACAGAGAGAGTAAGATTTTAAAAAATTCCCAAAGACTCCTCGGAGAACAGACTGGGGGATGGGAAGGAAAGAGGGTTCATGAGAGTGGAGATGGGGAGACTTTGAGGGAGCTACTGCAACAGACTCCAGGAGAGCTGCTGCTGGACCAGAGTGGTGGCAATAGAATGGGGAGAAGCGATCCAATCACAGGTGGGGTTTTTAAGGATAGAAAACTAGCATCCTTGGCCTGCACAGCTGCTGCCCACCTCCCCATTTTTAACTTGTGAATTTATGAAACAACCACTTATTTCAACAGGTAAATTCACACCTAATGGATGCGGTGCATGCTCTCTGGGGGATGGACACGCTTGTAGCTCTGACTCGGGCAGTGCAAGGGCAATTTATGTAACCCCTGTAATACTCTGAAATAAAAAAAAAAAGAGAGATCAGTATTCCTCTAAATATGTACATATAGGTAGGCAATTAAACATTGGGATGTGTGAATTTAACAAGTTAACTTTACGCAAGCACTTAATATTTAGTTCACACCTTAATAAACCACAAGGTCATACATATTACATTCTTATAAATACTTACAAGATCAGTATACCACACATCTAAAGTTTGAAAAACTCATCGTATCATTTGTACTGAAAACATTGACAGCAGCCTTGATTCAGTGGCAGTAATAGCCCACAATTACCACTTGACATGTACTAATGCATTTGATACCGACAGCAGCCCTGTGAGCTTGGTACCATTCTTATGCCCATTTTACAGATGACATTGAGGCACAAGGAGGTTGAATCCTTGTTCAAGGTCACATAGCTGGTAAGAGGTAGCACTAAGAACTGAAGCCCAGAAATTAAAAAGTTGGCTGGAGGTCACCTCCAGCCCTTGGGACCCCACCATGGGTGCCCTTCACTCACAGTCTCATTCTTCCCACAGGTTTCCATGGCTTCAGAAGCACTTATGAGCCATGCACAGGTGAGTAGAGGGTGTCTCAGGTCCTTATCCTTCCCGTGTTCCACTCAGTTGGTCTCCAGGATGTGGCAGGACCCTATGCCTGCCACTCTACTAGCCTTTGGGTTGAGGTCTCTGGGGTCTCACCAGACTCAGGGTCATGAATCCAGGCCGGGATTATATGGAGTGGGCCCACTTTCTGGCCACCAGTGGGATGTCCTATAGAAGGCATTACAGGCCCAGGGATCAGCATGTGCAGAAGCTTAGAGCTGAGCCTGAGTTGTCAGGCAGCTGTTACAGGTCTCTGTTTTGTCTTGTGGGACCAGAGAGCAGGGATGCAGGAGTCAGGCCTGCAATGGCAGGTGGAGGAACTGTGCCTTTATTCTGAAGGTGTTAGGAGCCATGGAAGGTTTGGAGTAGAGTAGGGGACAGTCATCTGAATCAGGTCTTACAGACTGCCTCTGGCTGCAGAGTGGAGAACAGACATTAGGAGTGAGGGAAGAGGCTCCTGTAATAGTTTATATGAATGTCAGTGATGGCTGGTCCAGGAGGGTGGCTGTGGATATGGGAGAAAAATACAGTTTCTGGATTTGGTTTTAAAGTAGGTCCAATTAGACTTTCTGATGTGGAAGTTAAGAGAGAAGGAGAGGAGTCAGTGATAACTCCAAAATTTTTGGCCTTTGTAGCTGGAAGGAGATGCCAACTGAAATGGGGAAGTCGGTTGTAGGAGTAGTCTTCAGAGGGAATATCAGGAGTTAGAATTTGTTATTCTATGTTGAGTCTGAGATGTTCTAATAAAGGCCCCGAGTGGAGGCCTTGAGTGGACAGCTGGACACACAGGTCTGAGGGCTCAAGTCAGAGGCACCACAAATTGGTGGCCTGTATGTGGACGGGATTGTCTTTGTCCATTTTGTGTTGCTGTAACAGAATACTTGAAACTCGGTGATTTATAAAGAAAAGAAGTTTATTTAGCTCATAGTTCTGCCGGCTGGGAAGTTCAAGGGCATGGCACTGGCTTCTGGCAAGGGCCTTCCTGCTGCATCATAACACGGAAGGTCAAAGGGGAGAGGGAAATGTGCGAAGGGACCAAACACAAAGGGGGTTCTTACTTTATAACAACCTGCGCTCGTGGGAACAAATCCATTCCTGCCAGACTAGGCACGAGAGCAAGAACTCACTTTAGAGAGAAGGGCACCTGGCCGCTCCTGCAGGCAGAGCCCCCGTGATGCAAACACCTCCCGCCTCTCAACACTGCTGCGCTGGCAGTTAAACTTGAACAGGAGTTTTGGCGGGGACAAGCTACATCCAAACCACATCCGGGTGGAACTGTGAGTTGCATTTAGGAAAGGGAGTCTTCAGGTCGTGGTGACAGTGTTATTGGGGGCAGGGAAAAGGAGGGTCCGATTGGAGAACTGGGCTTCTCTCTCTTGGGCACCCGAATGGGGTTGATGTGTGTCACAAAGACAGTGACTGGTGGCTGTGGTGGGGAGGTGGCTTCCAAGGGGGACAGCCATGAGCTGGATGTGGAGGATAGCAACAGTGGGGGTGAGGTGACAGTGAGGCCAGAGCCTGCACTTATTCAGCCCTCTGGAGGCTCACCAGGCTTTTGTGGTGACTCTTGATGGGACCTGGAGAGCTGCATCAGGCTGGTGGATAAGCTCAGGAGCAAATGGGAAAGTCAGTGAAGGCCAGGGGACCAGTGGGGCTGGGCATTGAATGAGGCTTTGGTGGAAAGAGGATGGCTGACATGGGTGACAGGACAGTGTGTATAACCCAGCAACCCAGCAGTAGAAAAGGGCTTAAGGTATCTGACACCTGCACATGGTTCTGAGTGGCTAAGATTGAAGCAAGAAGCAGGACAAAGTGGAGAGGTCTTTAAAACAGGACTGGGGGCTGGGCGCGGTGGCTCACGCCTGGAACCCTAGCACTCTGGGAGGATAGCTTGGGGTCAGGAGTTCAAGACTAGCTTGATCAAGAGTGAGACCCCATCTCTACAAGAAAATAGAAAAATTACCAGACATGGTGGCACATGCCTGTAGTCCCAGCTACTTGGAAGGCTGAGGCAGGAGGATCGCTTGAGCCCAGGAGTTGGAGGTTGCAGTGAGCTATGATGACACCACTGCATTCTAACCTGGGCCACAGAGCAAGACTCTGTCTCAAAAAAACAAACAAAAAACAAACGCAATAACAAAAAACAGGACTGGGGCTCCCTGGCTTTGTGGGCTGTCAGAGGTCTAAGGCAGGATGGAGTCACGATGGCATTTCCCAAGCACTGTCTGGATGGCACATGCAGAGTGGAATGTGGAGATGTCAGATATCTGTGGCGTGGGCCGGGGGTTGGTGATGACAGAGGGGGTCAGAAATGTGAGGGAGGGATGGTCTACAGGCTGATGTGCTCAAGGGAGACAGTGTGAACTGATGGTGCCAGGGACTTGGTCCTAGGGGCTTAAGGGAGAAAGCTGAGCCCCTGTTGGCTTGTGTTGGGAGGCACTGGTCTGGGAGGCATGACCAAGGGATTTGCTGGCAGGAGAAGGGATAGGGCCCTTTGCGCCAGGCCCAGAGCTTAGATGGCGTTCATTTGCACACATGCCCGGGGTTGATGTGGGCCAATGTGGTGAGGAGTAGGACCATGAGGAGGGAGAGGGAAGCAGCAGCACTTGGCCCGATATCTCCTGTGAGGTGACCTGGGGAGGAAGAGGAGAGTAGGGGGGATATTTCGGGGGAAAGGGATAGACCACGGGTCCTGGGGAGAGAGGCTGCTCAGGGACGCAGCTTTCCCTGTCATGGTAGGGCAGCGTGACCTTTGAGGATGTGGCTGTGGACTTCTCATGGGAGGAGTGGAAGCTTCTTGATGAGACGCAGAGACTCCTGTACCGCGATGTCATGCTGGAGAACTTTGCACTTGTGGCCTCCCTGGGTAAGTCCCTCACGCTCACCCGGCATCCTGGCTGGGCTCTTCCTTCCCCTTTGTTCTAGGGGCTGCTCTTTCCTTACCACAGCCTGGCTGTGGACATTGCTCTTTCCCCAGCTTTTCTTGTGAAGGTGCTACGGGTGCTCGGGCTGGGCTGAGTACATTCTCTCCCCAGGCAGCCCCACCACCTGGTACCCTGAAGCCTGGCAGGGGAGAGTAAGGGGACCAGGCGTCTTGCAGTGAACCCAGTGAATCCCACCAGGCTTGGCCTCACCCTGGCAGAGTGACCGTCCAGAATCATTGTTGCTCTCCCTGCAGCTGGCATTTCCTTGGGCCTCACAGTGCCAGGAATTGCAGGCGCCACGTGGTTACTACTTGCAGGGACCACTGGGCTGTTCCTGTAAGACATTCTCTGAGGCTTTTTTTGTTATACTAGTTTTCTGTCCTGAGGTCTGTCACGGGGTGGGTTCCTCTGTGCACCTGCTGTCTATTTACCTGCCTTGCCTTTCCCTTAGGACTTGTGTCTTCCCAAATTCAGGTAGACATGACCCCAGCTATGGCAAGAGGACACCAGAGGGGTACTGGCTCTGGTAGGCGGGAAGTGAGGGATGGCTCGAAGTAAGGGCCGAATTCTCATGATGCCAGGAACCTTCCCAGTGCCCATGATTGTTTGCGTACCAAGGACAGGGCCCTTAACTCATTTCTGTATTTCAGCCTCACATTTGACATTTTGCCCGCTTGTCATTCCTACTCTGACGTCCAGCCAGGACTGGCCCCCGCCTCTCTGGCATTCAGGTCTCACCCGTTCCTCTCTGCAGTGTTCTCTGGCACTGAGCTACACATAAAGTGTTGTGAGATGTGCACGTACCTTAAATAGTCCTTGAACAGCTGCTCAGTTGTAGTTGGTTTTCCTGGGTCTGGACACACCTTTCTATTCAGTGCTCACGTGTCACCAGCAGACAAGCCCCAGCTGAAAGCCGTTTGCAGAGAAGTGAGTTGGAGATGCAGCCTCTCCTTCCTGTGCTCTGTCCCATCACTGTATGCTTGCCCCACAGGGGACTTCCCCATGGTATGATGTTGCCAGGCTCAGTACAGCAGAGTCTCTCACCCGAACTTCAGCCCCCTTTTCATCCCAAGAGTTTCGTGTACTCATTCCTGGATCTGTAAGATACACGCTGTGTTGGGGCTGCCCCTCCTACCAAAGTGTACATGTACTTCAACAACGTTTCTCTGCTTCCAGGTTGTTGGTTTCGAATGGAGAATGAGGAGGCACCTTCTCAAGGAGTGTCACAGGTCAGGGCTCCCAAGGCAGGTCTGGCCACCCCAAAAGCCTACCCTTGTGGGATTTGTAGCCCAGTCATGAAAGATGTTTTGCTCCTGGCTGAGCATCAGGGAATACACCCCAGGCACAAATCACACACGTATGGAACACACGGAAGACGATTCTGGCTTAGCACAAACATCCTCCAGCATCAGAAGCAGCACACTGGAGAGAACTACTTCACACGGGATGAGGATAGGGCTTTGTTTGGTAAGAACTGCAGGGTCCACGTGTCAGAGAATCCCTTCACATGTGGCAACAGTGGGAAGGACCTCCTGCCCGGCTCAGCCCTTCTCCAGCAACAGACCATTCACAGCAAGGAGAACTCACCCAGAAGTACTCAGTGCAGAGAGGCCTTTCACGTTGCAGAAGGGTGTTACACGTGCAGTGAATGTGGGAAAGCCTACAGACACAAAAGTAGGTTTCACGAGCACCAGCGAGTCCATAGTGGAGAAAGACCTTATGAGTGCCACGAATGTGGAAAATTCTTTAGCCGTAAATCTAACCTTGTTGTACACCAGAGAGTTCACATGGGTATAACGCCTCATGTGTGCAGTGAATGTGGAAAAGCCTACAGCAAAAGCACCCACCTTGTTCGGCATAAAAAGCTTCACACTGGAGAAAGGCCTTACGAGTGCAGCAAATGTGGGAAAGCCTACAGCAGCAAACACATACTCGTTCAGCACCAGAGAGTCCATACTGGAGAAAGACCTTATGAGTGCAGAGAATGTGGAAAATCGTTCAGTCATAACTCTAGCCTGGTTGTACACCAGAGGGTTCACAGTGGAGCAAGGCCTTACGAATGCAGCGAATGTGGGAAATTCTTCAACCATTACTCCAACCTTACTATACACCGTAGAGTTCACGTCTCGGCAAGGCCTTACGAATGCAGCGAATGTGGGAAAGCCTTCAGCTATAAACACAGACTGGTCCACCACCAGAGAATTCACACTGGAGAAAGGCTTCACGAGTGTACTGAATGTGGTAAAGCATTCAGCCAGAAATGCAGACTGGTTCAGCACAAGAAAAGCCACACTAGAGACAGGCCTTATGAATGCAGTGAATGTGGGAAAACCTTTAGACAAAGCTCTGGCCTTATTGAACACCAGAGAATTCACACTGGGGCAAAGCCTTACAAGTGCAGCGAATGTGGGAAATTCTTTAGCCGCAGAATCACACTTGTCCGGCATCAGAGAATCCACACTGGAGAAAGGCCTTATAACTGCACTGAATGTGGGAAGTTCTTTAGCCAAAGCTCTGGCCTTATTGCACATAAGAGAGTTCACACTGGTGAAAGGCCGTATGAATGCACTCAATGTGGGAAATCTTTTAGCCAAAGATCCAGCCTCATTTTACACCAGAGAGTCCACACTGGTGAAAGGCCTTATGCGTGCAGTGAATGTGGGAAAGCCTTCAGCCTTAAATCTACACTCGCTCAACACCAGAGAGTCCATACTGGAGAGAGGCCTTATGAGTGCAGCGAATGTGGGAAATTCTTTAGCCACAAATCCAGCCTCATTAAACATCGAAGAAATCATACTGGAGAAAAGCCTTCAGCCAATGGCCTTCTCCCATTTAGTACCAGAAAGTTCTCCCTGGAGAAAGGCCTTAGAATACAGGGAGTGTGTTATCTGCCTGGTCAACATAATGAGTGACACCAGAGAGGGGCTCTGAGAGTAGCCTTTGTGATGTAGCCATCAGGCAAAAGTTGAATGTCACATCTTGACATCCATACTGGAGAGATTCCTTGTGAATGTCGGTAGGTGGGGAGCTTTGAGGAGCTGCATTGCACTTTCTTACCTGCCGAGGGCCCTTCCCTGAGTTATATCACTGCCAGTACCTGTGGCAAAAGCCATTTCACCTTTGCCAGCCAGCAAGTGTGTATCGGGTTACCCAATGTGTCAGTGAAGGCAGACCTCTGTACTGTCTCCCTCTCCCTGGAGGAAATCATGAGTGGTCTGACGCCACTGAAGTCCACCATAATTACATTCACACACTGGCTGTGGTTAACAGTTGGGGGCAGCAAACTAGAGGATGTGTTCCTCATCTAAACGTGCTTCCAGAATTATTCTGGTCACTACAGCTGTGAGGGATGAGGGTATACAGATATGCTCAGGACTTCTAGATTTAGCCACTCCCGTGGACAAAGTCACTGGCAGAGCAAATGGTCTAAATGTTTTCTGGATTGCTGAGGCTATTTGGGCTGATTGCTTCAAGGCCATTTTTATAGAAGCAAGAAAATGGAGACAAGACAGAGATTATAGTCTAGGCATGAGGCTTCTATGACTCACAAAGAACCTTTATTGCTTGGTGGTCTTTGCTTCCATTGAAGCAGGGCTTTCCTTTTCAAAGGATGAGGATAGTTATGATGGATTCAGTATATGTTTGCCAAAATGACTAGCTTTTCAAGAGAAGCAGGAGATCCAGATTTTTATGTGGAACCATTTTTTAAAGCTCTGTATCTATATCTATTGGGGTATAACTGATGTGCAGTAAACTATGCATCTTTAAGATGTAAGATGTGATGTTTTATCTAGTACATTAATATATACCCATGAAACCATTACCATAATCATGATAGTGGACATCCCCAAAGTTCCTCTCCTTTAAAATCCCTCTTTCCCTACGTCTCTGGCTACCCATTCCCATTGATTTGCTGTCTTTCACTATAAACTCCTTTTCCTATATAAAATTGTATATAAATGGAATAATAAAAGGTTTACTCTTTTTTGCTTTTGTTTCATGCGGCATAATTATTTTGCTATTCCTCCACATTGCATGTATGAGTACTTCGTTGTTTTATTACAGACTAGTGTTCTCTTGTATGCACATTTCACAATTTGTTTTTCTGTCATCTGTTAAAGGACATTTGGATTGTTTCCAGTTTGGGGCTATAACAAATAAAGCTGCTATGAACATTCATATATTACTACCAGTCTTTCTCTTGGGTTAATACCTAGGAGCAAAAGACCCAGTGTCTCAGTTCTACATGGGGGATTTTATTATAACTTACGGCAGTGACTGATGACACAGGCCAGTGCCATGCAAAGGATTTATTACTTCTATTTCCCAAGAGAAGGGGCATACCATGCTGCACAGAGCCACATGGAGAGCACTGGTGTTGGTCAAGAGCCAGAAAGGAGCAAGGGAAAGGCATAGGCTACAGTCCTTATTGGGGTCTCCATGGGAAAGGCGAGACAGGGAAGAGCAAACACTTTATGATTAGCTGGTTTGAATAATCCTGGCAGGCTTTGGGCTATAGGGTTCCTCTCTGGTTACCTGGTACCTGATCCTGGGATGCCTTAGGGCAGGGAAAATACTGACTTGGTGTGTGAGAGTTAAATATAAAAAGGTAGCTGGGCTATAGGCTCAGGACTGCTTGGTTTGTGTATGAGACGTGATCGTGGTCAGACCCTTTGCTAACTCTATGAAAGGGCTAGCTCTGGGAGGGGAAGTCTCTCCTAGGCCAGCAAGTTTTTTAAGGTGTCATCATAAAATACAGAAAATAAAAAGCATAAGTTCACAGAGTCAAAGGATAAACAGATCTTTATCTTTTTACAAATTGACAAACTGTATTCCAAAGTGGTTATACCATTTTGTATCCCTCCAGCAGTGGGAATTTCAGTTATTCCACATCCTCACCTACACTTGGCATGGTTAGTCTTTTTAATTTCTACCATTCTCATTACGCGTGTAGTGGTTTTCTCTGTGATTTCATTTTGTACCTCCCTAATGACTACTGTTTAGAATTTTTAGTTGTACTGCTGCCATCGCTCTATTTTTTTGGTTAAGTATCAGTTCAAATCTTTTGCCCATTAAAAAATTTCTTCTTGTTGAATTTTGAGGGTTTTTAATAAAGTCCTTCATTAGAACTGTCATTTGCCAGTATGGTCTTCTAGCCTGCGGCTTTTTTCCAATCCTCTTAATAGAGTTTTTCCTACAGCAAAAATTTTTACTGTTGATAAATTTGAATGTATTATTTTTACATGTTTCTGGTGTGTATTTATGAAGTATTTGCCAAAACAAAAAACATTCTCTCTTGTGTTACTTAACGGAGGTTTCATACTTTTAGGTTTATAATCCATTTTGAGTTCTTTTGTATACTGTGACATTTGGGGTCAGAGCTTTGGGGTTTTTCTCTTTTGTTTTTTGTTTCACTATAGATGTCCCGTCGCTCCAACAGCACTGGTTGAAAGCACTCTCTTTGCTGAATTGCCTCTGCACCCTTTTTAAAAATCACTTGATCGTATATGTGTTGGTCTATTCCTGGACTTTCTTAATCTATATTTTTTTCTGATATCTTAAAATTATGTCTTAACATGATTTTATAGTATGTCTTGAAATCAGGTAGTGTAGTCCTTTAACTTTGTTCTTCTTTTTCAGAATTTTTTTGGCTGTTCTAAGTTCTTTGCATTTCTTTATGATTTTTAGAATTCACTTGGCATTCTCTAATAAAAGCATTGTGGGATTTTGATTGGGATTCCATTGGAAAAAAATATATAAATTTGAAGAGAATTGATATGTTAACCATATTGAGTGTTCCAATTCATAAATGTGGCAAATCTCTCCCTTTATTCAGATCTTCTTTAATTGTCCTCAGCAATCTTTTAGTCTTCAGTGTATATATCTTGCACATTTTAATTATCTCCACCTATATTATATGTTATATGCTCTTGTAAAAAGTATTCTTTTAAAATTTCAATTTCAAATTGATCTTTGCTAGTACATAGAACTACAATTTTTATAAAAATATTCATTTTCTACTCTGTAAACTTTATAAATTCATTTATTCTAGTTTTTTTGTTTTTTTTTTAGATTCCATGGGATTAGCATTCTCCATTGGCATTCATGTTGTCTATAAATAAATTCAGTTTTATTTCTTTGCTTTCAAACTGGCAATTATGAAATTTATTGGCATAAAATAATTCATATAATTCTCTGTTATCCTTTTAAATCTGTAGAATCTAGTGGTGTAACCCCATCTGTACCTAACTCTGGTAATTTTTGTTTTCTCTCATTTTTTTCTTGTCAGTCTGGTTAGAGATGAATCTGTTTTGTTGATCTTCTCCAAAAATCAGTTCTCAGTTTTATTGATTATTCTCTATTGTTATTCTGTTTTCCATTTCATTAACTTCTCTTTGATCTTTATTATTTCATTCTTGTTTTGGGTTTCAGTTGTCCTTTTTCTATTTTCTAAGGTTGCATTTGTCCTTGATTGAGACATTTCTTTTCTGATATAGGCATTTAATCTCTAAATTTAGCACCATCTACAATTTTTTTTTGTATGTTTTGCTGTCAAATAGTGTAAGATAGAGTTAACTTTCAAGTTGTCTAGAATAGCTCTAGTCTTACCTCTGGAGATTACTGGGTATCTGGCTTTAACCCTTGGTCAAGATAAATCAGTGGGATTTATGATGCGCTCTTTAAAATCTGAAATTCCCTTAGTAGCCGCAAGGGCTGATGTGTTTACTCATGGCTTTTGCTATGGTCTGAATGTTTATTTCCATACAAAATTCATATGTTGAAACCTCATCACCCGTGGGATAGTTTTAGGAGGTGTGGGGCCTTTTGGAGTTCATGAGGGCTCATGACAGGGGTGAGTGCCTTTATATTAATAAGAGGCCCCAGAGAACTGCCTTGCCCCTTCCACCATGTGAGAACACAGCTAGAGGGTGCCATCTAGGAACCAGAAAGCCGCCCTCACCAGACATTGAATTTGCTGGCACCTTGGTCTTGGATTTTCTAGCTTCCAGAACTGTCAGACATAAATTTCTGTTTTTATAAACTACCCAGTTCATGGTATTTTGTTATAGCAGTCTGAACAGACTAAGACAGCTTTCACTTGGTATAAATGGCTAGACAGCTGGTTGTGGTCATATAGCTGGAGAAACATAAAAGGCCCTTCTAGGAACTTTTGCTGTTAGTTCTTCCAGAGCTTTTGGAAACTGGGTTTTGATTCAAACTTGATGTTTTCTAATGAATTCAAACCTAAAACAACCAGGCAGAACAGCACATATATGCAAAAACATACTGTGTCAAAGTCTTTTAGACAAAAACTAGCCTTGTTTGAACCATAAGCTTTTAAAATACATTTTCTGTGTTGACAAAAGTTAAACAAAAAGTGAGATCTAAATTCCCACACAAATTTGCATCAGATGTATTTCCAAAGCAAAACTACAATTCCAACAGATATTTTTGGACTTCACTGCACATGCAAAGGAAATTTCCATATTTTAAAACCTATTTAACCGTGCAGTTAAGAAATTTCCACTTAACCTTCAATTGGAAGTGATTAATCTATAATATAATGATCTATTAAAAGGCAAATATCAAAATAAAAATCTAATGGACTTTTATAAAGGCCAGTCAAGTGATTAATATGCCCTATTTAAATCATATCCTCATGGAATAATGTCAGCATTATTGTCAGTGCCATCTGTGTAAAGACATTTTAAAATATGACATAGGTAAAATCTCAATACTGATAAGCATTAGCAAGTGAATATTTATAACCTATTTTAATATAAGAAACAGTAAATTTTATTTCCATTTAAATAAAATGTTAGCTCCCCAAAGAATTCCTTCCATCACATTGATAGACCTGTATTACAGAAACACCTTAATTATCATTGCATTTTGAATTTTTTCAGTTAAA